GAGATGTGCCTGGTGTTATGCTCACCCCAAGATCTTTTTCCTTGAGAGAGTTTCGTAGTCTCTGGCCCCCTAACCTGTACTCCGTCTGCTGTCTTCTTTGCCCTCCCCCAATCTTCATGACTTTGCACTTGGTGGGGTTGAACTCCAGGAGCCAATTGCTAGACCAGGTCTGCAGCCTGTTCAGATCCCTTTGTAGTTCCGCCTGGTCTTCGATCGAATGAATTTTTCTCATCAACTTCAGGTCATCTGCAAACAGGGACACTTCGGAGTCTATTCCTTCCGTCATATCGTTACAAATACCAGAAACAGCACTGGTCCTAGGACTGACCCCTGTGGGACCCCGCTGGTCACCTCGCCACGTACCATGACTCGCTGCTGTCTTTCTGACAAGTATTCCCTGATCCATTGTAGTGCCTTCCCTGTTATCCCTGCTTGGTCCTCCAGTTTTTGCACTAATCTTTTGTGTGGAAGTGTTAAACTCTTACTTACAGTTCAAGAAAATCCAATCTACCCACCCCTCTCTCTCTTGTCTTACTGTTGTCAGAACTTCAGTAGGTTTGTGACACAGGATTTCCCGTCCCTGAAACCATGTTGGCTGCTGTTGATGAGATCATTCCTTTCTAGGTGTTTCACTACTCTTCTCCTGATAATCTTCTCCATGACTTTGCATACTATACATGTCAGTGACACTGGTCTGTAGTTTAATGCTTCATGTCTGTCTCCTTTTTTAAAGATTGGGACTACATTTGCTGTCTTCCATGCCTCAGGCAATCTACCTGTTTCGATAGATGTATTGAATATTGTTGTTAGGGGTACACATAGCGCCTCTGCTCCCTCTCTCAGGACCCATGGAGATGTTATCCGGTCCCATTGCCTTTGAGGTATCTAGCTCACTCAGAAGCCTCTTCACTTATTCCTCAGTTGTGTGTACTGTGTCCAGCACCTGGTGGTGTACCTCACCTCTCCGTCTTTCTGGAGCCCCTTCTGTCTCCTCTGTGAACACTTCTTTGAATCTCATATTGAGTTCCTCACATACTTCGCGGTCGTTTCTTGTTGTCTCTCCTCCTTCCTTCCTTAGCCTGATTACCTGGTCCTTGACTGTTGTTTTCCTCCTGATGTGGCTGTATAACAGCCAGTGTGTGTGTGTGTGTGTGTGTGTGTGTGTGTGTGTGTACTCACCTAATTGTGGTTGCAGGGGTCGAGACTCAGCTCCTGGCCCCGCCTCTTCACTGATCGCTACAAGGTCCTCTCCCTCTCTGCTCCCTGAGCTTTGTCATACCTCTTCTTAAAACTATGTATGGTTCCTGCCTCCACTACTTCACTTGCTAGGCTATTCCACTTCTTGACGACTCTATGACTGAAGAAATACTTCCTAGCGTCCCTGTGACTTGTCTGAGTCTTCAGCTTCCAGTTGTGTCCCATCTCTGGAACATCCTGTCTCTGTCCACCTTGTCTATTCCCCGCACTATCTTGTATGTTATTATCATGTCTCCCCTGACCCTTCTGTCCTACAGTGTCGTCAGTCCGATTTCCCTCAACCTTTCCTCGTACGACATTCCCCGTGTTTGTGTGTGTGTCAGCGTGTATACACACAGTTTAATCACTATTTTATGTATTAAAGTATTCTTGTCTGTTCGTGATTATTATTATTATTATTATTATTATTATTATTATTATAATAATGGTGGAAGAGAGTGATAGTGGTAATGCTGTCAGCCTCTGGGGTTGGTAACGGTGTCAGGGATACATTAGAGGGGAGGGAGGGAGGGAGAGGGTGATATGGAGAACAGGTGGGTTGGTTGCTTGCCTGAGGTAGAAGGGGGGAAAGGGGGTGTGGTGGTGGTGGAGGGGAAGGGGGGGAGGGGAATGTTCCGTTACTTGACTAAAGTCCCGGTGTGTGACCTACCACAACTACCACAACCACCACGACTCCTACTACCCCCCCTCTACCACGCATCCACATCCTCGCTACCGCATATTCTACATCACAACCACTACCATCACAATCACTACCATCACAACCACTACCATCACAATCACTATCACAATCACTATCACAATCACTATCACAACCACTACCATCACAACCACTACCATCACAACCACTACCATCACAACCACTACCATCACAACCACTACCATCAGAATCACTACCATCACAACCACTACCATCACAACCACTACCATCACAATCACTACCATCACAACTACCATCACAACCACTACCATCACAACCACTACCATCACAATCACTACCATCACAACCACAGGTGGATAGTATCAAATGACAAAGTTGTGGTTGTTATGAGTAGTGTTACAGTTGGTACCACTGATACAACCATGTCTGTTACAGTTGGTACCACTGATACAACCATGTCAGTGTTACAGTTGGTACCACTGATACAACCATGTCAGTGTTACAGTTGGTACCACTGATACAACCATGTCAGTGTTACAGTTGGTACCACTGATACAACCATGTCAGTGTTACAGTTGGTACCACTGATACAACCATGTCAGTGTTACAGTTGGTACCACTGATACAACCATGTCAGTGTTACAGTTGGTACCACTGATACAACCATGTCAGTGTTACAGTTGGTACCACTGATACAACCATGTCAGTGTTACAGTTGGTACCACTGATACAACCATGTCAGTGTTACAGTTGGTACCACTATACAACTGTCATGTTACAGTTGGTACCACTGATACAACCATGTCAGTGTTACAGTTGGTACCGATACAACCATGTCAGTGTTACAGTTGGTACCGATACAACCATGCCAGTGTTATAGTTGGTACCACTGATACAACCATGTCACTGCTACAGTTGGTACCACTGATACAACCATGTCACTGCTACAGTTGGTACCACTGATACAACCATGTCACTGCTACAGTTGGTACCACTGATACAACCATGTCAGTGTTACAGTTGGTACCACTGATACAACCATGTCACAATAGTGTTACAGTTGGTACCACTCATAGCACGTCACAGTAGTGTTACAGCTGGTACCACTGATACAACCACGTCACAGTAGTGTTGGTACCACTGATATAACCACGTCACAGTAGTGTTGGTACCACTGATATAACCATGTCAGTGTTAGTTGGTACCACTGATACAACCATGTCAGTGTTACAGTTGGTACCACTGATACAACCATGTCAGTGTTACAGTTGGTACCACTGATATAACCATGTCAGTGTTACAGTTGGTACCACTGATACAACCATGTCAGTGTTACAGTTGGTACCACTGATACAACCATGTCAGTGTTACAGTTGGTACCACTGATACAACCATGTCAGTGTTACAGTTGGTACCATTGATACAACCATGTCAGAGCTACAGTTGGTACCACTGATACAACCATGTCAGTGTTACAGTTGGTACCACTGATACAACCATGTCAGTGTTACAGTTGGTACCACTGATATAACTATGTCAGTGTTACAGTTGGTACCACTGATATAACCATGTCAGTGTTACAGTTGGCACCACTGATACAACCATGTCAGTGTTACAGTTGGTACCACTGATACAACCATGTCAGTGTTACAGTTGGTACCACTGATACAACCATGTCAGTGTTACAGTTGGTACCACTGATACAACCACGTCACAGTAGTGTTACAGTTGGTACCACTGATACAACCACGTCACAGTAGTGTTACAGTTGGTACCACTGATATAACCATGTCAGTGTTACAGTTGGTACCACTGATATAACCATGTCAGTGTTACAGTTGGTACCACTGATATAACTATGTCAGTGTTACAGTTGGTACCACTGATATAACCATGTCAGTGTTACAGTTGGTACCACTGATATAACCATGTCAGTGTTACAGTTGGTACCACTGATATAACCATGTCAGTGTTACAGTTGGTACCACTGATATAACCATGTCAGTGTTACAGTTGGTACCACTGATATAACTATGTCAGTGTTACAGTTGGTACCACTGATATAACCATGTCAGTGTTACAGTTGGTACCACTGATATAACCATGTCAGTGTTACAGTTGGTACCACTGATATAACCATGTCAGTGTTACAGTTGGTACCACTGATATAACTATGTCAGTGTTACAGTTGGTACCACTGATACAACCACGTTACAACAGTGTTACAGTTGGTACCACTAATACCACCTGGTCACAGTAGTGGTGGTTGTAACACTATGCTATTAGAACCCTGATGGGTGAATGGTACGGTGCTGAGGCTGCTACACGCAAGGACCACGGTTCGAGTCTCCGTATATTCCTCCATTAATTCATAGACAGTTGTTCACTACGAGTGTCACTCAAGATGAGTGAATACACTTGATGAAGAAGACGTGTTGTGTACACTAAGTCTTCACTGCTTCGGCTGTGCCCAAAGTCATGTCTATTTGACGGAAGAAGTCTACTGTGTGGGCGAAACGTTTAGGAAATAAATATATGAAAGTGTTGCACTAGTTTTACTTGTATAATTGTCAGTATTGTTTGGTTAGATAAAATTTGCCAGGAAACAGGACAAGCGTCTCCTGACCCGCAACTGGAGCATTCTGTCATCTGACCGAGGCCTTCCACTGGCTTACCTCTCCACCCCTTCAAAGATTATTAATATCGCCGGTATTGTATACAAATACCATAAACTTTATTAAAACTATAATGGGAGGCGCTGGCGTGACGGTGGTGTGTGACGCTCCTTGCAATTACACTCTGATGGTGGAATTATACTTTGTTCCCGGGTTATTTTTTCAGGAAAGAAAGTGTGGGAAAGTGCATGCAACAACTCTCTTTTGCTGGTGCAACATGTTCACCCCGCTGCAACATGTGTTACGTGAGGAAATGTTTCAAGTCGTTCCTGAATGCTCCACAAGTTGTGGGATACTATATATTGTCTTCTCATTTCATGTATGTCTGCAAGATGGTTTGTCTCTGTGCAGAGGAGTATGACTCACCCTATATACACCCAGAGGTATATCTCTTAGTGCATACATACCGAGACGTGCATATCTCCGCGAATATACATCGAGAAGAGCATACATCAACTGTATATATATTTTGAAGGGTGCATATTTCAGTGTATATACACTGAGGTGCATATCTCAGTGTACATACACTGATGTCTGACTAAATGGTATGGGCGCTCATATACTGGAGTGAGACAGAGGTGCAGCAGGTGAAAGCATTGTCAGTGGTAGGTGGGGCCCACCAGTAGCAGCAAGTAGGTTGTGGAGATGTCCTCTGTAACAATATTCCATAATGTTGTTGTGTCTGACAAGTAATATATTAGATGATATACTGTACAATACCGACCACTTGATATAGTTTATCTCCACAAAATACAACACATACTACTCTCTGGCCCAACTCTTGGCCATGACTTACTTCCACTGGTGGGCCCCACCTACCAGTGACAGTACCTTCAGCTGCTGCACCTCATATCACTTACTGTAATCTTCTTAGGAATGAAACTAATCTTAATGTTAGTTTACAGGTGACCTGCAGCTTTCGTTACCCAAGTGTAGTTGATACACTGTGAAACATAACAAAATACGATAACAAGAAGGAACACTGCAGCAGGCCTGCTGGTCAATACTAGACAGATCCATTTCAAATACAATCCGTCTCCTCTTCCCTCCCAGTTATGCTGGAAGCAAAGTTCTCAAGTTCACTTTGCTGGCGAACCCTTGCTGGAATACTTGACGATATTCTCATTACCCTACTGAAGTCTCCCAGCCCAGGCTGACACTACTGAAGTCTCCCAGCCCAGGCTGACACTGAGGAAATGGTATGGTGATACCGACAAGATGTGGAAAAAGACACTTATGTACAATTCAGGACATTTATTAAAGGAAACGTTTCGCCACGAGTGGTTTCTTCAGTCCTAATACAGAGAAAATTAAGAAAACATTTATATATATAGTGGCAGGAGTCAGGTGAGGTGACGCGTGGGTAGAGGTGGTGGTGGTGGTAGTAGTAGTAGTAGTAGTAGTAGTAGTAGTAGTAGTAGTAGTAGTAGTAGTAGTAGTAGTAGTAGTAGTAGTAATAATAATAATGGAACTAAGGAGGTGAGGCAAGAGAGGGACCTGCTGGCATCAAGTAACACTGGCTAAAATATCTACCAGCTCTTCAACTACTATTAGGAACCTGATACAAAAACCCAAGCATGATTCTGGCACAAGTGCAGGAATCTACACTATACCATGTGGGGGGTGTGACAAAGTATATGTAGGGGAAACAGCCAGAACTCTGGACATTAGAATAGCAGAACACAAAAATGCTTGCAGAAATGATGACCGCAAAAACGCATGTGCTCAACATAGAGACGATGTTGGACACCTCATGAAATTCAATGAAGCTAAACTAGTTATTAAAGAAGACGACTTAAGACGGAGAAAATGCATTGAAGCTGCACTAATTTCTGTCAGTAACACTATAAAGCAAAAATCCGGTAGTTACAGTATTTCAAAATTACTAAGCAAGAGGATATTACCCATCCTGGGAACTGGTGTTACTTGATGTTACTTGCCTCACCTCCTTAGTTCCATTATTACTACTACTACTACTACCACCACCTCTACCCACGCGTCACCTCACCTGACTCCTGCCACTATATATATAAATGTTTTCTTAGTTTTCTCTGTATTAGGACTGAAGAAACCACTCGTGGCGAAACGTTTCCTTTAATAAATGTCCTGAACTGTACATAAGTGTCTTTTTCCACAGGCTGACACTACTGAAGTCTCCCAGCCCAGGCTGACACTACTGAAGTCTCCCAGCCCAGGCTGACACTACTGAAGTCTCCCAGCCCAGGCTGACACTACTGAAGTCTCCCAGCCCAGGCTGACACTACTGAAGTCCCCCAGCCCAGGCTGACACTGCTGAAGTCTCTTGGCCCAGGCTGACACTGCTGAAGTCTCCCAGCCCAGGCTGACACTGCTGAAGTCTCCCAGCCCAGGCTGACACTATTGAAGTCTCCCAGCCCAGGCTGACACTACTGAAGTCTCCCAGCCCAGGCTGACACTACTGAAGTCTCCCAGCCCAGGCTGACACTACTGAAGTCTCCCAGCCCAGGCTGACATTACTGAAGTCTCCCAGTCCAGGCTGACACTACTGAAGTCTCCCAGCCCAGGCTGACACTACTGAAGTCTCCCAGCCCAGGCTGACACTACTGAAGTCTCTTGGCCCAGGCTGACACTACTGAAGTCTCTTGGCCCAGGCTGACACTACTGAAGTCTCTTGGCCCAGGCTGACACTACTGAAGTCTCTTGGCCCAGGCTGACACTACTGAAGTCTCTTGGCCCAGGCTGACACTACTGAAGTCTCACAGCCCAGGCTGACACTACTGAAGTCTCACAGCCCAGGCTGACACTACTGAAGTCTCACAGCCCAGGCTGACACTACTGAAGTCTCACAGCCCAGGCTGACACTACTGAAGTCTCCTGGCCCAGGCTGACACTACTGAAGTCTCCTGGCCCAGGCTGACACTACTGAAGTCTCCTGGCCCAGGCTGACACTACTGAAGTCTCCTGGCCCAGGCTGACACTACTGAAGTCTCCTGGCCCAGGCTGACACTACTGAAGTCTCCTGGCCCAGGCTGACACTACTGAAGTCTCCTGGCCCAGGCTGAGACTACTGAAGCCTTACAGCCCAGGCTGAGACTACTGAAGTACTGTCTAGTGCAGCGATAATCACTATAGTGCTGTCTAGTTCAGTGATCACTGCAGTGCTGTCTAGTTCAGTGATCACTGCAGTGCTGTCTAGTTCAGTGATCACTGCAGTGCTGTCTAGTTCAGTGATCACTGCAGTGCTGTCTAGTTCAGTGATCACTGCAGTGCTGTCTAGTTCAGTGATCACTGCAGTGGTATCTAGTGCAGTGATAATCACTGTAGTGTTGCCTCAGTTACAATCACAATAAGAATTATATGAGAGTACAGTGAAAGTTTAGCAGTGAAAGTTTTTGAACTAGCATTTAAAGTTATCGTCTAGGGTAGGTACTTTGATGCTAGCGAAGTGATCTTGATCCAAGGAATCAACGCCACCCCTCCCCTTCCTCGGATTAAAGCAGATTACCTCAGATTTAGAAGGCACTATGACCCTTAAGGTTGTAGCGATTCTCTATGAAAAAATATGAAGCAGTACTGTATATATAATATATATATATATATATATATATATATATATATTATATATATATATATATATATATATATATTATATATATATATATATATATATATATATATATAGTCCATGGGGAAGTGGAACAGAATTCTTCCTCCGTAAGTCATGCGTGTCGTAAGAGGCGACTAAAATGCCGGGAGCAAGGGGCTAGTAACCCCTTCTCCTGCATACATTAATTAAGTTGAAAAGAGAAACTTTTGTTTTTCTTCTTGGGTTACCCTGCCTCGGTGGGAGACCACTGTGATATATATATATATATATATATATATATATATATATATATATATATATATATATATATATATATAATATATATATATATATATATATATATAAGTAGTGATGAAGGCAGCTCAGTGGCTCATTCTACAGAGTGGCTCCCACAGTATGGCTCCCACAGTATGGCTCCTCCTGAAAGGGCTGCGGCTGAGTGGCTCCTTTTCACACCTATGTGCTAATGACCTTTTTCACACCTATATGCTAATGACCTTAACCCCACCCATGACCCCACCCACGACCCCCCACCCACAACCCCCCGCCGCCCCCCACGTCCGCGCCCCCACGCCCGCGCCCCCACGACCCATACCCACGCCGTCGCCCCCACGACCCCCCCGCGCCCCGCCCGCGCCCCCCACCCGCCCCCGCCCTTGTGCCGACCCACCCGCCCACCGCGCCCTCGCGCCCGGTCGCGCCCCTCGCGCCCGCCCGTGCCTTCTGCTGCGCCTTCTGCAGCGTCGTCCGGATCGCCCCCGCCCCCCGATTTTTTTTTCCGATTTTTTTCAATTTTTTTTTAAATTTCATTTTCTTATGATCTCGGATCAAATTTTTGAGGTTCCCCTCCCACTTTCACCCCCACCCCAAATTTTTTCGATTTTTTTTTCTCGATAATACAAAGACTCCAATTCCTTGGATCAAGGTTTTCTCGATAATACAGACTCCATCTCCTTGGATCAAGGTTTTTTGGATTCCCCCCTCTGGGTATAAGCATTCAAAATGGACTCCCACTTGCATCCCAATTTTTTTTTCTCGATAATACAAAGACTCCAATTCCTCGGATCAAATTTTTCTCGAAATCAAAGTCTCCATCTCCTTGGATCAAGTTTTTCTCGATAATACAAAGTCTCCAATTCCTCGGATAAATTTTTTCTCGAAATCAAAGACTCCATCTCCTTGGATCAAGTTTTTTTCTCGATAATACCAAGACTCCATCTAATCGGATTAAGTTTTTGGATTCCCCCCTCTCAGGGTAAGCATTCAAATGAACTCCTATGGGGCATGGTACTTTCTCTTACTACAGGTCTAAACAAGTGTGACGTCACCCCACCTGTGTTTACTCGGCGGTCAGTGACGTCACGTGATGACCTCACACATACAGGCTGAATCTTGTCGACTTCCCCCTATGTCAGTGACGTCACGCGATGACCCCACACACACAGGCTGAATCTTGTCGACTTCCCCATCTCAGTATTACACATTTCATATACAACATAGGGAAAACATTTTCACTCTTAACCCAGGATAATCCAAATAATTTCACATTTTTTCGTTAGTACCCACAACAATCCACAATTTCTTTACAAAATACAACACAAGTCTAGACATTTTTCTCGTTTTAACTATTTCATCAGAGTCACCACAACTCTTATAACCACTTTTCGATAAATTCACTAGTCACAATTTTACATATTACGAAGTTAATACGCACACACACCTCACTTTACTTTGAACACCTTCAAAACACTCTCATAAATCATTTGAATACTCACAAATACCTTTGAACATTTCCAAACAACACTGAAACACTTCCAAAATATCATTTTGAATACTCCCAAATAAGATTTGACAGCTCTAATTTATC